TTTTAGTTTTTAGAACATTATAAACAAAAAACTTCACAGTGGCTTTGATCTAAAGTCGGCCGTTTTCGAGTTGTTAAAACAAATTTAAAGACTAAAAACCCTAAAAATGGTCATCTTCAATACCTAAACACCCTGTGGAGAATTATTAATGTTGAGGTTGACAGGTGTTTTACTAAAAATCCAACCTTCTCCTATAAGACTTCCAAAAGTATATTGAGCTGATTTCGTTTTAGAGCATCGATAATGTCAATTGTAATTGTACTCTGTGACATTAGAAGTGCTACACCGAGAAAAAATAATCTCTTTGTTTTCGTTAACCTTTGTTAAACTATTATCTCTTAGTTTTTGTAAAGAAAGGAGTGCCTGAGAGCTGAGTAGTACAGATATTTTTAGTAATTGCTCTTTCATTTACTATTGTTAAGCATAACAAGATGCCTCGAGTTCGAAGACGTCCAAATTATCCCCATGTTAGTGACTTTGATAAGGGTAGAATTATTGCCTATCGATATGTTGGTTGGTTATGGCAAAATCGGCCGCCGTAATAATTGTTCTGCAATGACGGTAATGCGTGTGTATCGTGTGTGGACAAAAGAAGGTAGAGGAACACGAAGAAGGCTAACTGGTCCATCGAGGCGTACCACAGAGCATCAAGGTAGGCGCCACAGACAACTAGCTCTACGAGACCGTTTTGCTACTACGCGTCAGATCGCTGACCTCTCGCTGGAGAAGAAGGTGTACCTGTTACTATGCCTACACTCTATCGCTGCATTCGAGCCTTTGGTCTTTTTTCATACCGTCCACGGTTAGTGCTTCCCCTGACTGCGGACCACTGTCGTCAACGTTTAAGCTGCAGCTGAGAACCGCAACATTGGGAGGCAGAATAGCATAGTCATCTTCAGCGATAAATCGCGATTATATCTAGGTACGCACGATGGTCGTAGAAGGGTAAGACGCCGCCGTGGAGAACGGCGTGATATTGGATTTGGTGTTGAGATGCATGTACACAGGACTGTTAAAGTAATGGTTTGGGGGTTATTGCCTACGGTAGCCGATCACCCCTCCTCTTTGTTCAAGGCAATATGATTGCTGCGCGTTATGTTGATGATATCCTACAAACCACTTTACTGTTGTATCTAAAGGACCGCCCAAATGTCCTTTTTCGGCAATACAACGCACGTCCCCATATTGCTCATCTTACTACGGATTTTCTTCAAGAAGCAGGCGTTAATGCTTTGCCGTGGCCATCTCGTTCACCGGATTCAAATCCCATCGAACATGTGTGGGATATGATGGGGAGGAGACCACGCCACAGCTAATCCACAAGTTCGAGTTGCTTGGAATGAGATACCACAACCAGACATCGATCATCTCATTTTGTCCATGCCTAGACGTATACAGGAGTCTATTCAGCTGCGAGGTCGCCCAACACATTATTTTTTTTCTTATTCCTTGCCAATAAAGTTTCGTGAAAATGTTAGCGTTTCATTCTTGATGTAAGAATACTTCACTGTCAAAAAATCAAGCTGAAGAAATTATTTTTTCTGGGTGAAACACTTCTAATGTCAATGAGATAGATTCGGGCTTTTACTCCCCTTAAATCGTTTTATGATCAACATCTGTTTACCGCAGCATTTCCGGTGTCATATTGCTTGCAATACCTAAAATTTTCTAAAAATTTTGCAATAACAATGTTTATACAGTATGATCGTACACAATAACTCATGGCGAATCACACTCGCGTTCCTGAAGCACATACCGTATTGTTCAACTTCAATTATACATTTAATTGTGGGCTATTCAGTATTTATTTCATTCAGAAAGTCGTCCATATCTATCAGAAAAAATATGGTCAACGCATCAGTGCATTCTTTGTGTTGTTGTATATCACAAATAAAGAAAAAGCGTCTTTACTTTTTAAAATTTAATTTATTATTTTCATATATATTAAATTATTACAAGACTTGCAACTAATTTATTACACATGTATGGTGCTGACTCATCATCCGACTCTGAATCTGTGCATTTATCTTCCAATCGACGAGTCCAGACCGGTCCCGCGTTTTCTGGGCTGAACTGGATGCCTGCTAGATGGCGGTTGCTTCTTCTCGACAAGGGCCGAATCATCTCAATGGGCGGCATAATTCTGGTTGAGTACGTCAATGTACGAGAGCGTGTTACTGCTACTCCAGTATGCAGTCTGCTTCAGAATGTTCTGGAAATATATGACATAGCACAAGACTAAGTGAAGGAGTCATCGCTCTTGAGGTGTTCATGTATTATCTCTCGCATTCCTAATCCATGAACGATGCAGTCAACAGGTGCTCTGGGTGGGTTTTTGCGTTCTTAATATCGCTTTGGAGAGGCTGGATGTCTTTGTAAGAGCCTATTCCAGGAGGTCCTTTACTCTGCTGGGTCTACTCAGTGCTATTTTAAAATAATTTAATGATCACTTTGCGGGATAAGGACGGGATACTGCCGTGCTTATTTTTGTTGTCCATGTTTCGTTGACTGGGTTCGGGTGAACAAAGCAGTAAGTTTAGTTTGCAAAATATAGGGTATCCTCAAAGTTGGCACTGTCCTTTACATGGCGTGTAGATCTTGAAAAAATGATCAGTTTTTTCTAATAGCATACACGCCAAAGTATTAAAATCTTAAAATTACCGAAATCTGGTCCTGCACCTCGGACAGATCACACATGAACACGTATAATGGGAATTTGTACTCAATTCAGCCTCGCTGGTACGGATCGGTTTTAATAAAACAAAACAAAGGCGGCACACTCATTCAGCAATATCGGAGTTGTCCATATTAGGTACTTTAACTTACGATGAGTGTCTTAAAATGCTGTCGCGGCTCCACGAGTGCATGCAGATCGTTTTTGAAGATTCTTCGCGTTTTCTTTTTGTTTGGGGCGAAATCAAATGCTTAGTGTATAAAGCTGAGTTAAACAAGGTTGACAAACTGTGTATGTGAATTTGGCAATCTGCTGCGCTGATTTGGGAAACTTACTCCATTCTAAAAGCCGACACTGATGATTGTCTACGTCAATCAGATACATATTGTGTATTTGAATCTACTGCAGACAACTTTGAACAATATTTACAAGTAACAGACCTGTACTTGAAATTTCCTTTCGATGAATGGTGAGCACTTCTTTACTTACCTTTTTTACTTTTTCGGTATTGGAAAAGACCACCGAGGGTATCGGAATGTTAGTAAGAGCTCTATATATGTGGTTTTTGCACGAAAACCAGATGATAAGTTACAGGTGTGACTCTAGATGTTTCTTATCATTATTTGCCTATGTTACTTTCGAATGGGGCATTGCGATTAGTAAGAGTGATTCCTTCGGTAGTGAACAAAAGAAATTACGTTGTTGATCCACATGACTTATTCTCGTCAAAGCAATATTATAGCGTCTCCTCAACCGCATACATAATTTCATAAGAATCTTCTGTGACGTAGACTAACCAACGATAAAAAGTGTAAGCTTTATGGGATAACGTAAGGGTATTACTGACATGGCTAAGGCATTTCATATTAAATTCTTCTTCGTCTTCTGAAGCTCAACGACAAATATATGCAAGCGTCGCTGTAGCAGCGGCTTTTGCAATCTTGGAAATTAATAATCCTCACGGTAAAGGCAATTTTTGGGGTTATAGCAGTTTGAAGGGAGGATTACCATTTATGTCTATTCTGTCAAACCAATGGGTTTTGTATGAAAATGCGTGTTATGGACAAGAGTGTGATTATGCAGGGGCGAGAGGGTTGGAGAATATAATTTTCCCCAGCAAAAACGGTATTAAGCACATGGTTTGAAATAAAAATACGTAGTCATCGGTCAGAATGCAAGTGCATATTACAAGCCTATAAGGCTTAGCCCACCACTTTTTACAGTTGTTTTTGACGTTTCGGATTAAATTCGTATGTTTCTGTAAAAATACATAAAAGCTTGCCGAAAACGGTGAAGGAAAACTGCAAAAAGCAGTTTAAGCTGAATAAAGGCAAATCTTTCTACCGATAAGTGTTAATATTATTATATTACAGCCATAGTTTTGTCAGCTTAATTTAACATCTGAGACGTATCCTGTTGTTTTTATGTTGATAGTCCCCCATGCCATTTAATGTCTGCAAGGTCACTAACATCTGGCTCGCCCAAGCCAACATACTTTGTAGCAACATGATAACCATAGAAATCCATTAAACTCCATACCTCTGTTAATGCATTTACAGCAAACTCGATATTGGATCTTTCTAAATGTTCAGTAATCGTAACTTTACGGTTATCCAAATGATACCCAAAATAGTCATGCCAGTTCCGGACTAAGAGGAGCCATACCGAGTGGACTATGTAATTCGCATTTCTACTAGAAGCATTTATAGCTAAGGTTCTGAGCGAGTAAGCATATCCATATTTGGGGAATCCCTAAACATGCGCTTTCGAGCATAGATAAGCAGGGTTGCCATATGTTCTCAAATTAAAATCGAATATAATTTGTAGAAAATCCGGAAACGTAAAAAAATAAATTTTGCTGACGTAATCATCATCTAGACCGCCCACTAATACCCTTGTCATCAAAAATAAGCAAAGCGAAAACCCTCCGCCCCACTTTATTGCTTACGCTTACGTAATACTTAAATAGCCCCATGATGCATATTGGAAACATTAAGGACTCGCTTCTTAGATTGACTACAAATTTGCTTACAACAAATACATTTTCATAAACGACTCTCTTCATTTCCTTCTTTATTTCCTTAAAGGCGGGCACAGATATGTGGTAATCGGCGAGCGGCGAATAACAAGTAATCGGAACTCGACGAGTACCGACTTGTCTGTTATGGTTGCTCGTGCCGATTAATCGTATTTGGCCGTTTCCCAGTCCTTGTCGGTATTTTGTGCCGCTTCAAAGCAGACGAATAATTGCGTTTTGTGTCGATACAGACATTCGAGAAGCTATTCGCTATTTGTGGAGAAATTTCAGTTTATTTTTCGTTTTAAAATGGAGTGGAGTAATGAAACAGTATTACAATTTTTGGATTTCTATGAACAAGAATCATTAATTTGGAAGCCATGGCTGAGTGATCATAAAAACAGAAATCTTGTATTCGATGCTTGGAAAAGAATAGAGAAAAATATGGGTGGAAAATACTCTGTCACAGAATTAAAAAAGAAAAAGGATTCCCTAATGGCATCGTTTAGGGCTTGTAATAATAAAGTTAAGGAATCTACAAAAAGTGGAGCAGGTACAGAAGACATACATATATAAACCAAATTGGTTCGCTTACGTAAGAATGGCAAGTTTTCTTCAAAATAAGAATGAGGCAAGGAATACAATAAATTCAGAGGTAAGTAATAAATACCTACTTTTCTTCAAATATTTTTATTGAAAACTTGCGTGTTTATATAAAAAAAATTAAGCATTAACAATATATATCTTGCCAAGATACTCTTCCGTTGCTCATAAAATATTCTGCCACCTCATTTCTAATAGTTCTTGCTTCCATGCTGGGCTTTCTTGGGATATTACGCAGTGGGAGTAAACTTGACATATTATCTTGATTTTGACGCCATGCACCAGGTGTAATATTTCCATCTTCTTCAGAGTCAAACGTTCCGGGAGGGGAATAGTTCGAACGCGATGATCTGCTTTTTCGTAAAAAATTATGTAAGAGGACACAAGTCATTACGATTAATGAAACTTTTTCTGGTTGAAGTAACATTGGTTTCCTTAAGACTCTGAAAGTAGAAGCCATAATGCCAAATACGTTTTCCACGACGCGACGTGCTCTTGACAAACGATAGTTGAACGTTCTTTCTTTGCTTCCTTTTTCATGTAGACCTGGATAAGGCTTCATGATTTGTTTACATAATCCAAATGCATCATCGCCCACAAATAAGTATGGAGTTGGAATATTTCGCCCTGGTAATGGCTCATCTGAAGGGCAATGCAGTCCGTTATTTTCGATTTTTTTAAAAAGTTCTGTATTTCGAAAAACAGCACCATCGCTTGGTCTTCCTTGACAACCACAATCAGCAAATATAAAATTATAATCAGCATCAACTAGAGCCATTAACACTACACTGAAATATTGTTTATAATTATAGAATTCAGATCCACTGTTTATTGGAGCCTGTATTGTAATATGTTTCCCATCCATTGAACCAATACAGTGAGGGAAATTCCATATATTTTCAAACTGTTTGGCTATATTCTTCCATTCGCTTTCATTTGATGGGATCTTAAAACATAAATGAGAAAATGCCTTTAATATATACCAATCAGTGCCTTTATGGAGTAGTACTATACTTAATTCATTTATTAATATTATTAGTAATTCAGATAAAATTTAGTGTTTCAAATTTTAGCTACAATTACCGGATTTACTCTTTCTAATAATAATAGAAAATAGCCTTATACATTATATTAATATAATAGTATAAAATGAAAGTAACAATTAAAATTATGGATAATGTGGTTTTCTTATTTATCACTTTATTTTCAAATTTCAGAACCTCGCATCACAGCTGTCGCAGGATGAAACAACTCCGAACGATGTAAGCGCTAACGGAAGTAATCATACTGAAAATATTCCTGACAACATAATTGAAATAGATGAAAATATCCTAAATGTTGGTAAACGCATTTATTTAATAAAATTTCATCTTTTAAAAAATTATTGTCTTGCAGAAATACTGCCATCTACTTCGAAGTCTTCCTTCAAGCGTCCTGCGCAGAAAAAGAAGAAAGTGACTGAAGAGGTTGAACTAAAAAGAAAAGTAGATGAGGCATATACTATTATGCAAAGCAATGCCCAAAAAAATGCAAAAGGAAAAGATTTCTGTGACAAATATGGGGAATTGGTTGCTGAAAGATTCAAACAGTTTGATGAGAGAACTAGGGACATTGCAATAAATCGAATTGATAATCTTCTTTTTGAAATGAAAATGAATTTGAATATGCCACTAAATTATCAGCCGTTCATGCCTACTAATAATCAAAATGTAACTGTTTTAACTTCTGTGAACCCGCAATGTAGTCCATTATCATCGCCTTCTGAAGCATCGTTTAGTAGTCGTCAATCTTCTACCAACTTTGCCATTGGACTTTCCCAACCACCATCACCTTATCAAAGTTCTGCGACGTTTCAAGAAACTCAACAATGTTCCCCATTTGATGAGTCACAATTTGAAAGTTTGAAGCAGTGTTATACAAGTTTCAGATAAAATTATAAACATTTGATATGTACTTTATACGAGGGGCAATCCGCAGACCTAAATTGTGTACACCAATGCACAATTTAGGCATTACTCTCGATTTTTTTTCGTAATGCCCCTAATTCCTGTGTTAATTCCTACTAATGCCCTCTAATGCCCACTAATACCCAGTAATGCCTTGTAATTCCTAGTAATGCCCTTAAATTCCCAGTAATTCCTACTTAATAATACCATGTAATGCCTTATACAAAAATCCAAAACTTATATCCAGCATATAAAATACCGCAGGAAAATTTAGTTGCAAATATTTCTATTATTAAAAAAATTATTTGAAAATAACTAAAATGAAATTGAAACTTTGATACCCTGTATCTCGCAAACCATCAACTTTTGGTCTAAGGTAAATTGCGTTAGATCGTTGTAGTTTGGCCCGAGGAATTTGTGATAGCATTTTGTACAGACCTTTTAGAGATACCCTGTATATATATATATATATATATATATATATATATTATGAACGCAAACGATTACAAAACATTTTAAAATAAAAATGATTATGTCTAATATGTTATTATAATGATCAGAATTCAATAACTAAAACACTCCAGCGGAATTCCATATCCTTGAATTCAATATTCAAAAAAAGTAACAAAGTATAGGTACTTAATAATAACTAAATAATTATTACACCTACAAAAGAAATAAGTGGTATCAAACAAAATAAGAACATTTTACACTTATTAAATAAGATTATATAACACATTTACACTATTTTTTTATTATAACCCCTGGTGACGTATACCACATTTTTTGCCAGTCAGTGTAATATTCTTCCTTTAAAATGTTTGCTAACATTCCAGTGTTTACGTTCCACTAATTGCTCAAAGAGTCCTTACATTTATTTTATTATACATTAAACTAATAATAGAATAGCGAATGTCCCCAAAGAATCTCTTAGATGTAAACAAAAATAATAATAATCTATGCATAAGACATGTATAAATAAAATCAACGAACAAGTCCTGAATTATTATAGTATACTTAAATGTCATTAACATAATGAAAAATTGAAAATGAACGTATTTTGACAAATTTAGATATTTTATAAAAGCAGTGTGAAGATATCTATTTACTTTTAAATTCTTTGTATTTCTTTTCTATATTTAAAAGATCATATGTTTTTAATTGAAAGGGTCCTGAGCCAGAGAGATTTATAGGTCCGTAAAAAATAAACTCTTTTTCCACAAATGCAATATCTTCTATTCTGGGCCAAGAAAATACGTTTAGCTCCTTTTTAAGAAACTTCATTTTTACATCTGAATCATTTATCTCTATAACTCGGCCAATATAATACTTGCTATCGTAAAATACCGCGTAATAAGTATCTATTATTATATTAATAATTTCGTGATCTTGCTCACTCAGCTCCTGGTTGGTCTCTAACTCAGTCTCTAAGTCTGAAAACGTTTCAGAATCATCTGATGTACTGTCATGGAGTGTAACTTCCGAAAACGATCCATTAGACGAAGAGTCTGATTCGGCGCTTACTCTTTTCTTCTTTCTGTAAACTTTTTCTGTACCTGGATTTTTTTTCTTGATTTCTTTTTTTGTATTTGTTTTATTCTTGGTTTTATTATTGATAATAAACCGTTTCAACCTATCATTGCTTATTTTTCCTTCATTTTCATCAAGCAACCAAATATATGACGATTTTTTTATTACCACTGTTTTTTCATTCAGCTCTAATTTTAAAAAATTTGAATGTTCATCTACATTTTTTATTTTTCTTGAATAGTCTCGGAGTTCTAATTTTTCTATTCTATTGCTACTTTCTGCTTGACTTTCGGGTTCGTTTTCCGATATAGAATGTATCTCTAAATCATCAGTTCCATCTTGTAAAAAGAAACCTTCATCGATTTCTTGTTCTATTTGGTCGGTATTATCACCAAAACTGCTGCTCTCTTCTAAATTTAAACGTTCATCGAAACGCAATGGAATGTGAATTTCGTTCCAATCCTTTTCGGTTGGTTCTATTCCCAAATCTTTGGCTTTGGAAATTGCATCTTTTAAAGATTTTGATACTATCTCTTCAATATCTAAATTTAGAAACTCGTCAGTAGTAGGGAAGTAAATATTTTTTTTAAGGTTTTTCCTTCTCGTGGAAAAATAAACTGGCCAGAAAGGTCACTAAGAATAGAATTCACCATTTTAATTCTTTCAATTCGTTGTAGAAATCCTTTAATGGTAAAATTTATAACAGTCGAAAATGTTGATGTAATTGAGCGAGCAGATCGAAACAATTTTTCGCACGCTTGGCTACTAAATATTGGCAAACAAAACATTTCTGGCGCTAAATCAGAAACCGTTTTAAACTTTAAAATGAGTTTTATCAGATTATGAGCATTAAGCTCAACACAATGATAGCAATTGCTGGTGAGAAAATTATCTTTTATTTTATAGTCTTTTTTTCGGATAATGTCTGCTCTCCAAATTCTTAGAAAAAATACGCAATACCAACTACTATATAGTCTAGAAGAGACATCAGTATTTTCATCCAAAAATGCTGTTATAATACAGCGCATCACATTTAGATACACTTCCGTCCCTTTAAACTCTGGATCATTTTTGAGATGTTCGAGAACAGTATTGGAGCACATTTTTTCAGCAGATGAGTAATTCATTTTATCTTCAGCCCTTAAATCAGACCTTGTTAATAGATGCTGATCTTTAGAAAATGTTTCTATTATTTTTTCTAGATGTTCTACAGTGGCATAATACTCACCAAGAGGTAAAACAATTCCTGGCTTTAAAAATCGGGTGCGTAGTTTCGTTATAATATGTACACTGTCTTGAATATGGCACTCATCTACCAATGTTACATCAGTATGAAACCACTTCCATTTTAAATAATCATCATTAAACTGCACATCGGAATAATTACTAGGGTCAGTATTGGAAAAACTATCATTAGAGTTAGTTTTGTCGTCGGCTTTTGGCAGGCCTGAATTTATTCTCATGGCCTTTAAAAGGCGAGAATCTCCATCGGATGAA